CTTTTATGTATTTCATCTCACGTGTCACTCTTCCGAGTGAGGTGCAAGGTTGAAAGCCACCTTTGTGAAGGTCCTGGACTTAACAGCGAAGAAGGCCCACCCTAATTCCACGGCTCTAGTGTGGTGGAGGTTAACTTTCTCTTGGGCCTCCATAACAGCACCCCGCCCCCCTGGGATAGTTCTTTCTTCTGCATAGCGTCTGCATAAATGACAGAAGGGTGGAGGAGTAGTGGACTTTCCGGCTCATGAGCTCATTGGGAAGGAAATGGCCTGTGAGGCAGATTGCAGAGGGGGCTAGGGTGTAGGAGCACAGCTAGCAAATAAGTTGTAGGGTCAAACTTCACAGATGGATGGGGTAGGAAGCCAATTTTTCATCATTTGAGAGCCACTGTATTAAAATAGATGGCTTTGGTTTTTGCCCAGCTACTCTTTTTTCTTTGCCCTGGTGTAATTGAATAACATTTATGCTTAGTTTAAAGGTGTAATGGAACAAAGTACAAATATTTGAGTGTAAAGACAGGATATTCACCTGCTGACTTCATTTCTAAAAATCACTTCATTATCAGGTACTTCCCGTAGGGCACTGTATGCTCAGCACTGAGGGAGAGCCAGAGACTGCAGCCCCTCTTCTGGACAGTGCACTTCTGTCTCCTGGGTCCGTGAACCCGGATGACATTGAAACTTCCTTTACCCAGTCGAATTTCAGGGGCGCCTGGGTGGCTCAGTCTTGGACTTTGGCTCAGGTCATGAACTCGAGGCTCATGAGTTTGAGCCCCACATTGGGCTCTGTGCTGACAGCTCAGAGCCTGGAGCCTGCTTTGGATTCTATGTCTCCCTCTCTCTCTTTCTGCCCCTTCTCTGCCTCTGTCTGTCTGTCTCTCTCTTTTTCTCAAGAATAAATAAACATTTAAAAATAAAGTCAATTTCAGTGCAGAATTAGTATTTCCTATTTATGAAAGAAACTACTTTGAAAATCTAATTTATTTTAATTTAGGTAATGTGATCATATCATCCAGATGTATTTTTTAGGAAAATAAATGGTTTTATCTTTTTCCCCCATCCACCTACTTTTCATTTATATATTCAGTTATGTTTTTTGTCTATTTTTCCAGAGTTTAAAATGCATATTTTGGCAGATACAAATCCATGTATTTTTATTCTCCCCTTTTTGCAGAGAAATAGCATACTATATAGAACTATTTGGGACTTTGCGTTTCTTACTTAACAGTGTAACTTGGGGGTTTTTCCATTTCAGTATGTAGGGATTCCTGTTTCTGTGAGTTTTTTAAACTACACAGTATTTGAGAGGGCACATGTATTCCCATGAGTGGGGGAGGGACAGAGGGAGAGAAAGCATCTTAAGTAGGCTCCCTGCCCAGCTCAGAGCCTGGCCTTTGATCTCAGGACTGTGAGATCATGACCTGAGACAAAATCTGGAGTTTGACGCTTAGCCAGCTGAGCCACCCCGGTGCCCCTACATAGTATCTATTGTATAGATTTTCCATGATTTAATAGTTCCATATTCAGGAATATTTAAAATTTTCCAGTCTTCTGCAAGCTGTGTTGCATTAAAAAAAACCTTGTCCAGTTTTTTTAAACTTTTTTTAAATGTTTATTTTTATTTTGGAAAGAGAGACAAACATCACAAGTAGGAGAGGAGCAGAAAGAGAGGGAGACAGGATCTGAAGCGGGCTCCAGGCTCAGCTCTTAGCACAGAGCCCGATGCAAGGCTCAAACCCATGAACTGTGAGATCATGACCTGAGCTGAAGTCAGACACTTCACCAACTGAGCCACCCAGGTGCCCCAAAACCTTGTTCAATTTTGCATGTATGCAAGTGTTGTTTTAGAATATATTCCAGAAAATTCATTTGCTGGGTAAAGGTATTATGAAAATAGGATTTGGGTAAGTAGTGCCATAGTACTCTTCATGAGCTAGAATTTTGTATTTCACTTTTTAATTTGTCAGTGTGATAGGGTGAAAAATACTGTGTAATTTTGATTAGATTTCTCTTAAGGGTTGAAGCTGTGATGTTCAAACTCTTCACTCTTGAAGGATCTAATCTGCTTTGTTGAGGGCTCAGTTAGAACCATAGGGAACAGTGGATCTGGGTGTTCATATTGCTAAGGGTTTCAAGCATATGGACACAAAGTAAGGTTCTTGACTATTCTTTGATTCAGTTGTACTTGCCAAGCTCTTAGCTAAAATGTGTGATGATTTGTTAAAATTGGGTAAAGTAACTGGCATATGAACTTAACTAAAGATGATCAGAAGTAGGTAATTCTTTTAAAATCATCAGCGAAAGTCTAAGCACCACAGTGGAGATTTGAAATGGATGTACAGGTAGGATTTCAATAGGAGAAGAGAAGGGGAGGCAAGATAGAAGCGAGCGGAATTTGAGAGAGTGGCAGACACACAGTTGGAGCCAGATTATAGAACGTCTTAAGAAGTGTGCTGATTTGGGAAGTTAGGCCATATTCTGCACGTGGTTGAAATCCCTGGAGGGCATGAGAGAACAGACCGATGTCCCCAAAGCTGTTAGACTGGTAGCGTTCACTCCGTAGGGTGCCGGTGGATGAAGGGTAAAAACTGGAAACCAGGAAGCCATTTCAGCTCTGAGATGTGGGGCCCTGCGTGGGGGTGGGGAGGAGGGGTCTACAAACTGATGAGAGAATGTGATGGAAAAGAGCACCAAGAGAGGATTAACAAACTGGTTGGCTCTTTGCTTGCGTTGGGGAAGAAAGGAGACCGCATAACGCTACAGGATATGGGTTGCAATAGAGAAGGTGGTAGAAGGGCTGATTTCTCTTCAGGTCAGTTGTGAGGGTTCTGAGTCTTGGACCTGTTGCAGAGCTCTCCTCGGAGCATGTCCCAAAGCCAGCTGTCGCTTAGGGCAGAGGTCTGAGAGAGACTGCTCTTTCACCTCACTGCTGGATTCTCCATCTTGCCTACTGACCAAATTCCCACTTTTTTCTTTCTAATTTTTTAATGTTTATTTCAAAAAAAATTTTTTTAACGTTTTATTTGTTTCTGAGAGAGAGAGAGGCAGTGTGAGCAGGGGAGGTTCAGAGAGAGGGAGACACAGAATCTGAAGCAGGCTCCAGGCTCTGAGCTGTCAGCACAGAGCCTGACACAGGGCTCCAACCCACAAAACTGCGAGATCATGACCTGAGCTGAAGTCAGATGCTTAACTGACTGAGCCACCCAGGTGCCCCTAATGTTTATTTTTGAGAGAGAGAGAGAGAACGAATGGGGGAGGGACAGAGAGCGGGAGACAGAATCCTAAGCAGGCTCCAAGCTCTTAGCGGCCAGCAGAGCCTGACGCGGGGAACATTTTATGTTGCATACCAGAGTCTGTCATCTTTCCCGTCTTCTGCTGTAAAGCGATCAGTGGAGATAGGACTGATCACGTGGAGAGCCTTAATGTTTTGTGTTTTGGTTCTTTAAAATGTTTATTTTAAAGAGACAGCACGTGAATGGGGCAGAGAGGGAGAAAAACCCAAGCAGGCCCCGTGGTGTTAGTGTGGAGTCCAGCGTGGGGCTCTGTCTCAGGAACCAAGAGATCATGGCCTGAGCGGAAATCAAGAGTCAAGAGACTTAACTGACTGAGCCACAGATTACCTGGAGCCTTAATGTTTTGAACCACAGTGTTTCGTATTAAAGAATATGTGGGAGGAGAAAGAATTTTTAAAAGCCTTCAAGTGAAGAGAAGAATGAATAAGGAACTCCTTAATAATTGTAGCTTTTGACTATCTAGAAAATAATTTTAGTAGAATAATGGAGATAGAAGTAATGACTTTAAAATTTGACCTTGGGAATAGGAAAGCGTTCAAAGCGTGCAGTGAATGTTTTAAGATAAAGATTTAATAGGAAAAAGAGGACCATAGTGATCACTGAGAGTTAAAAACCGAAAGGATTAGACGGCTATTCTCAGTCTTGGCCCCATTAACATCTGGGATTGGATAATTGTTGGGGGGCTGACCTGTGCGCAGCAGGATGTTTACTAGCATGCCTGTCCTCTACCCGCTAAATGCCAGGAGCCACTCCTCGTCCATGACCACCAGAATCCCCAGCACACATGGCCTAATGTCCCTTGGGCTGGAGGGGTAGACCTGCACCTGGGGTGGAAGTAAGGAAGTGGGCATGAAGGAGAGACAGTGAGGAGGGAGAATTCGAATGGCCTGAATTTTTTTTTTTTTTTTTTTTTTTTTTTTTTGCTGAAGAGGGGAAGTGTATAGACAGAAGGCCCTGCAGAAGTTAATTATACCAGTGTCCGTGAACCTGAAAAGCATAATCAGCCACTGAAAAGGGTCTTTATTTTTTTTCACTCCAGAGAAAGGGGTCTTTAGTATTTCTTGATTGTGTATTGACAATATAATGTAACCCCAGTAGAGATTTTTTTCTGTAACTTTTTTTTTTAAGTTTACTTACTTATTTTGAGAGAGAGAGAATGAGAATCCCAAGCAGGCTCTGAGCTGTCAGTGCAGAACTCACCTACCATGAGATTATGACCTGAGCTGAAATCAAAAGACGGATGCATAACTGACTGAGCCAGCCAGGTTTCTCTCGTATAACTTTTTCATGTCTAATTATAAATCTACTTCTAGTAATTGGTAGAAAACCTACTCTGAATAAGTCAGTGCCTTGGTTCGTAATTGACAATCTATTAATCCGATGCCCTGAAGGTGTGGATTAAAATAGGCACTAGGACAAAATCTATACTGATCTCAAGATACGATTTTTAGAAACTTTCATTTTCAAGTGTGTGCTTTTCTACAATTTTTAAATATATTTTTCATTAAGAAATCAGCATACGCAGAATTAATGGGTTCTTTTCTAATTCCACAATTAGGAAAGTTTTGTTACACTTAGGTAAGTTTTATTAAACATTCTGTAGTATGTTCCTGCTGATTGATTGTAAGTTGTCACCTAAGTTCCCAACGTTACTAATGGGAGACAGGAAATTGTTAGAAAGTTTTAATGTTTACTTTTAATTTTCAGGCTGAAGAACAGTTGAGAATTGTTGAAGAACAAAGAAAGATTCATGAGGAAAGGATGAAACTAGAACAAGAGCGACAACGTCAGCAAAAAGAAGAACAAAAAATTATCCTGGGCAAGGGGAAGTCCAGGCCCAAACTGTCCTTCTCACTAAAAACCCAGGATTAAATTGCAAACTCTGAACTTTTTACAAAGAAAAATGGAAAAACTTTGTATGGTAGCTTCATGTTGAAGTGGTTTTTTTTGTTTTTGTTTTGTTTTTTGTTTTTTTTTTTTTTTTTTAATTTGGAAAATCTGGAAAAGTTAGCTTGTTCTAATAGGGGCTATGCTCTGCATTCCTTTTTCCCCCCTTAACTTCCATTAAGTCAAATCCTTATCAGATCATTTTGTCTTCTGAAAAGTGATCTATTTTTCCCCTGTTTGGATTCGGTGTTAGTGGTCTGTAGGAGGAGCAGATCACTCTGTAAGCTGTGGATGGTCTGATAAGGTTTCACTGACCCATTGACTTCAGAGTTATACTCTGTCTATTACATCATAATGCTGGTTTTGCTGACTTTTTGTTTTTTTATATATTTATAAAAAAAGAAAAAGTTGGTAATTGCATTGGAAGCCCCCCAGGGTGTTCCTGGACCTGTGTGGTGTGTTGTTAACCAGTGTCCTTGATGTTCCTGATACAGGTAAGGAGACCAGTGGTCAGCTCTGGCACAGAATACATACCCAGTTCAGTATTGTCTCTGTTCCTTTGTTTTTATTTCATTGACAAAATCAAACCAGCATTCCCCATTGTGTAAATAAATGATTTTGCTGAATAAAGTAAAGTCTTAAATTCATATGTTGAAGCAATTTTTTTTAAAAGTTCTGTTAAGTCTTAAAGAGGGTGGTTTGCTTTTTGATGGTCGACAATTTAGGAATCCCAGAGCCATGCTATCTTTCCTCAGACTTCTAACATAGGACTTATATGTACATTAAATATACTCCTGCATTAGCGTTTCATACAGATACTTGATTTATGCTGCTACTGCAATTAAGACATCAGTATCACCTTTAAGAAAGACTAAGCACCCAGAAAAGGATTTAAATTCTCAGTCCTGTGCCTCTGTTTTAGGATATAAATATTAGCACAAATTATACTTAATGAAGACCAGAAAAATGCTTCTAACAATTTATAGAACCTTAGATTATTTTCAAAGTGGGCCATCAGAAAGAACTTAGCTTTGTACTTTCACTAAAGGCTAAGATAGTCAAATCCTCTTTGCTGTGGGGTGCCTGCACGTGTATTTTTGGGACAAACACATTTAAACTTCTTACAAGTTTTTGTTTCTGCATGTGATACCTTACGGATGATTCTTAATACACTAGAATCTGCCTCAGTTATCTACGTATGTTTAAGTCTACTGGTATTAAAACGTTTATTCACGAAAAGGATATGGATCTAAAAATGCTACCTGAGCTGCATAAACATGTCTTCAAAGTAGAGAACATGTTCTCCAATATTTTCGAGTCCATTTGCTAAGTCTTTCAAAGTGAAAACATAAGTTAATGCACTGCCTAAATGGTAGATTATTTTGTGTGTGCATGCTAAGAAAAATGCTATTGCTTTAGTTTGAGCTCTTCAGTGAGTCTATTGTGGTAAGGAACAATATTATCAGTTTAAATATCTTTAAAGATAGACTTTTAAGTAGGCATGAACTGTAGTGAGAGAACTGACTTATACCTATTAATTACTCAAACATTTAGTTTATTTACCTAAAGAAGATAGGTTGCTTCATGAATCCTTTTTTAACCTTTATTATAGGTTAGCTCTATTTCATGATTTTTTTTTTTTTTAATGTAACTTATTTTGAGGGGAGTGCAGATCCATTGTTCTTGGGTTGTATATTCAAGTTTTGGGAACTGTTTATTTAAAAATTGTTTTGCTCTGCAAGTGTTACAAACATTGTATCTAAGAGAGTAGCCTGGACTTAAAATTTTAAATTAGCTTATGCGTGCCTTTTACTTTTTTTAAATCTCTTACTGCCACATATGGTGTGAAATCACAGTAAGTTGCCTAGTGACATGGCAGTGTCAGCGGCTGTGGGAGACTCGCATCAGATATAAATTGTCCCTGTGCCAGGCTACAGGAAAGAGGAAGTGATTGTTAATAAAATACACCCAATCTTCTCTGTGCTGCAAAAGTGTGTACTAATTTGTTTTCTTCATTTGTTTCCACTGCTTTTGTGTACGTATTATAAAAGCTCAAATTCTCTCCCAATTAGCAGTTCAGATGTTCCCTAATTTATTAAATATGGCTTTATTCACAATTTGTTTTTTAGGTTATTCTTAATGCATTATAGAGTTAACTAATGACTGTTTACTTTTATTGCAGTATTTAAAGTATGTAGTTATTGCAATTTCTATTGTGGAGTTTGCAGAATTATCAACTGTATAAACGAAACCTTTAAATTAGCTCGGTGTGAGGACTCTTTAATGCTTGCAAAGAGGGGAAGGGGTTTTTAGTTAAAGATGGACCGCACCAGTTTCCCTTACAAAAATGTAGTCAGCGACCCAGCCATGTGGTTGTGCCTCTCCATGCCGTCAGCTACTTTGTGTGGCCACCAAACATTACTTACTCAGTAATGTTGCACTTCTTTTTTTCCAAAGTGAAACAAGCATAGACTCCTGGCTTGATGAACTCTAGGTATCGTTTCTGATACCTCATTTTATATTAAGCACCTCCACTTGTCACCTAACTAAATTTCTCCAAAGCTGTTATTAAGCGTTTCTCATTTCAGTTACCTTAATTTTCTGCTCCTTTACACCCAGAACCGTCCATCTGTTGGATTCCTGGCCATGGGAATTTCTGAAGACGGGATCTCTCAGTATCTGAGACTTGCCACTGTCACCAGGGGTCTCCCGAACACTCCAGTACCTGAATGCTCTTAATTAAGTGAGAGGACCTCCAAAGGAAGGCATCTCAAATGGGTGTTGAAGACCAAGGAATAGACCCATTTGTTGGGTCCATTTGTTGAATTGCCATTTTCCTGCCCAGATGTCTTTATCATATTTGTTATTTCTGTGTTTTGTTTACTCGTTATTTTAGCATTCTGTTTTGCATGAGCACAGCTGGTACTGGTGCGGTAATCTAGAAGGTCTGCACTTACGTGCTCATGGATGCACAACACACTTTGACGCAGAGTTGTCACTGGTTTTCAGAGGACTAGATCGCATTGTCTGATCTGTTAGATACTGTATATATGTAGTTTCCAGAGTAACCGATGTGCGGAAGATTGTTCTTTTCCAGAGCCTCCAGTGGTTGGATCAGAGGATGTTGAGCAGTTGTACTTTTTACATATATTTTCTTTAGACCTACTAATGTGAAACCAGAAGACTAAAGAGTGAAATTCTCAGTGGTCAGCACTTTCACCCTCACTCAGGAATTCCTAATGGGTGGGGGGGGGGGGGGGGGGGCTGTTTAAGAGTGTCCATACAACTATTGATTACTAAACCTCCCTCGTGCATTAGAATAAAATACGTTCGTTGTTTTGTATACATTTGGATAATGATTGTTTTCTTCCTCGTTTTCCAGGCTTACGGAAGTGCACTGTGGGTTGAGCAAGGGCAGTAGCAAGGAATGAACAAAGGAATACGTAATGTAGCCTCTTCCAAGTGCTGTGACCATCTCTTCCTGTAACGCGGGATAGAGAGGGAGCAAAAATGGCTTCTTGGACCCATAATAGATGTTCATCTCCTTATGATTGCTGTCAGTAAGATCACTTTTGTGTTCAGAGCAGAATTCAACTTGTTATACAGTACATCCCTGTCAGTCCACAAAGTGGGAGTCCTCTTTAGAGAGAGAGTTAAAGTAATAGTGTCCGTGACTGGTTAAGACCAAAACACCTGCTACCTGTCTGTCTGCACCAAACCACCTAAACCCATACGCAAGGCCGACCGGAGTTTGGTTGCTTTTCTACACTTGTCGGTTTGCGAATAAGGATATGAGATTTCATGCCAATTGCCCAAGCTAGTCGGAGCCATGATGGTTTCTTATTAGGCAAAAGCAGATTAGGCAAGAATCAGCACAGAGCCCCACACGGGGCTCGATCCCACAAACCATGAGATCATGACCTGAGCTGAAGTCAAATGCTTAACCGACTGAGCCACCCAGGTGCCCTAAAAATGCCCTATTTTGATAGAAGAATTGGATTAAATGTGTACATTGCTTTGGATATTATAGACATTTTAACAATATTTGTTCTTCTAATTTGTATGGAATGTCTTTCCATTTCTTTGTGTCGTCTTCAATTTCTTTCACAGTGTTTTATAGTTTTGGGAATGTAGGCCTTTCATTCTCTTTGATTAGGTTTATTTTTGCCTAATAAGAAATCAATGACAGATTATAAACTACAAATTTAAATGACTACTCTAGTTGAAAAATAATGGTATTTTAGTTCCATAAGGTATATATATTGTTCTCATCTATAAGGTCAGTTGTCACTAAACTTCCAAAGGGAAAAATGTTCTTGGGATCCAATAGCCCAGGGAGTAACTGATCCTTTTCCTACCAAACTCCTAAGTAGATACTAATTTAAGATGCTTTAACATATAAGCTGAATTTTAGAAGCAGAAAAATGACACTGGAGTGCATGGCAAAGTTTACTAAGAAAAGATTTACTCTTGTTTTGAAAGGTCTTCCCTTTGAGTAATTTGAGCAGTATCATTTGCAGAAGCCTCCTAAAAATTCCAGTGACCTTCATGAAATAAACTGCATGCAGTGCCAGGAAACTAGTCGAGGCTCGCAGCTACGCGAGAAGTTCATGGCTTGGACGGCGTTTAGTCAACATGTATATCAAGTTTCAGTAATTTCTCTGTAATGTTACATTTAGATAAGGCATTTGTTCTTTGTTTTTACAGAAGTTATGTTAAAGATGTCTTTTGAAGTAGATCTAAGAATTGATGGATGACTGTACAAGGAATATATAAGAAACATCCATAAGATCTAAAGACCAAAGCATGTTCAGGAATTCAGAGGCAGGAACATGACTTTCATAGGGTGCGTGTTCTTGGGCAAACTTGACTGCCAACTTAGTAAACCGAAATTTACATTTGCTACCTCGTTACATAATCAAATTTCTATTTCTATTGACTTATGATTGACTATCTGAAATTGCCCAGATTTTTAACCTGACTTAGAAATTCTTCCTTAACTTTAGAAGTTGAAGTAAGTTCCTCAGGTGAAATACAACTTCACTCTTTTAATGTGGGGTTAAATATGTGCTGGTAAAACTATGGATTTTCAGAAATAACTATGTTTCTCCCTACAATTTTAATCATAAAATACAAACATGTAACAAAGTGATGTGCTCTGTTCGTTTTGGTGTGGCATGCATTAAAATTTGAACTTCGTCTGGTACCTGCTGATGTAACAGTTTCTGCCTGGCATGTATGCACAGAAATAGATGCAAATGACTTGAAGTGATGCTTTTAATTACAGTTGCCCCTTGGACAACTTGGGTTTGAAATGTGTGGTTCCATTTACAGGGATTGTTTTCAATAAATACAGCCCTCTAAATGTATTTTCTTTCGTTTTCCTAACATGAGCTTGCCTTAAGAATACAGAATATACATATAACAAGAAAATATGTGATTTGTTATTGGTAAGGGTTCTGGAACAGGCTATTGGTAGTTAGGTTTCCGGGAAATCCAAAGTTACACAAGGATGGGGGGAGGGGGTCCCTGCCCTCTTCTCCTTCACAGGTCAATGGAACTGAGATTACTATCTAAACAGAGGGACATTTTCATCTTGAAATAGCTAACTGTTGATGTTTTTTCACCTAGTCTCTACAGATAATCCGTGTTTACTGAAAATAAGTTGATAACTATTCACGCTCTAGTTATACAATGATAATCTTTGTGTAGGATTTTATTTTTTTCATCAAGTATCCTCTTTGTTTAAAAAGAAGCAAGTTTTACACGTACATTTCCCCCAGGGTAAATATGCTTTCGATGTGTGAATATCTGATTTACGAAAAATGGAAGCCAGGGTTATTTTCAGACTATGCAAATTTCCTTTATTTCCTCTAGTTTACGTGGTAAGAGCTCCTTACGTGTAGGAGCAAACAGGTCACAACTTAAATTTTACAAAATAAGTTTGCCAAATTTAAAACATGGTACTGTTTTGGTTTTAGTTCTTTTAGAAAATCACTAGCTTTACATTAAATTTCAAACGAATTCCTTAAGTGTTTTAGGCTTATTAAAAAACCACTCCCTTTTAGCCCCTGTGATAAAGTGATGAATAATATACCATGTGCCCCCTTCCTGGTTTTTAGCCCTCGTGGGAACCCGCCCAGGACTTCAAGTCAGTGTGTGATGTTTGAGCATCTGAGAAAAATTTTTCCCTCAAATTGAAGGCTTCTTTTAAAACTAGCAGTCAGAGAAAATAAAATAGTTTTCTTCTCAAAGACTTACCCGTAATAATATGAATGTTTTCGGTACCCGCCCCCCCCACCCCGTGCCTTAGTGTTTTCGATCGTAACAAACTGCTCTTAAAACACATCTTTAACACTCCCAGTGGAAACGTGCATTAACTTTTGTTTAATGTTTCCAAAAAGGAATACTTACCCATAAACGTCTTCAACGTGGTTACAAAGAAGAGTGAAAGAAACACTGGTAAATGTCTAAACGAGATGTTTTACCATGTATTTTTAAACGCAGTTTAGTAGATAATTTAGCTGAAGAAATAGAATCGGTAGGGACTCCGTCTGGTTCGTTGCGTCTGCAAACATTACAGAAATCCGGGAGGACACAGGAGCGTTTTAAAGCGTGTTGGCGGCATGCTTCTTTCCACTTTTCCCAAACCTTCGCGGTCCGCAGGTGCGGTGCCGGTCCCGGCCGGGGCTCCCGCCGAGGGTCGGCGCGCGGCTGCGGAGTCGGTGGGCGGGCCGCCGCCAGCGGGCGCTGTGGGTCCGCGGAAGCCGGCGACGCGCCGGCGCTCGGCCGCCGCGGCCTCTGGGCCGGCGTTCGCCAGAGCCCGAGGGAGGAATCCCTGCCGCCCCTCCGTTCGGCCGCTGTTTGTCACCGGCACCCCAAGTTCTCGCTCACCTCGGGGAGGGTGAGAGCGTCCCAGAGGCGAGTTAAGGAGAAGGGCGCGCGGCGGGCGCGGGCGTGCCGGCGACCCTGCAGGGAGCGCCCGGCGCGGGGGGCGGAGGGTGCGCGGCCGGGACGCGGGCGCCACGTCCCCAGGAGTCGGCTGCACCCGCGGGCCCCGTCGACTCGGGTCCGGCCGCCGCGGACGTCAGGACCGACGTCGGGTGTGCAGCACCGCGCTCGGGGGGCTGCTGGGGCAGCTAAGGGGCGCGCGTGCGGGTGTGAGCCGGGCCCGCGGAGGGCACACCCCGCGCAAACGGGGAAGACCCGCGCGGAGCCCGCCGCCTTCCCTTCCGCGGGGCAAGTTTCGCCCTCGACGTTGTCCCTCTGCTGAGCTTAGAACTTGCCGGGCACCGCAGGCGCGTGCAGGGCGCGGGGGACGGGGGGCCCCGCTGCGCCCCCCACCCCCACCCCCGGCTGTCCTGGACGGCACCCCCACCCCGCCGCGGGACAGGCGCCGGGCGCGCGCGCTAGGGCCGCGTCCCTGGCGGTCCCGGCGGCGCTCGGCTTGCGCCACCGCCCGGGGCCGGGGGCGGGGCTCACCTGTCAGCCGGCGCCCCGCCTCGCGGCGCCCAATGCCGGGCGGGGGCGGATGACGGACGGGCCGGCCGCCCAACCGGCGCGCGGCTGCTGGGCCGCAGGCCAATGGGCTGCGCGGCGCGGGGCGGGGCCCCGCGTTTATAGTGCTCTGACAGCGCGCCGGCCGCGCTGACTCTCCTCGGCGGGGACGGCGGCGCCGGCCGGAGCGAGGAGCCGCGCGCACGGCGGTCCCGGCGCCCTCCCCGCACACAAAGGCCCGAGCGCGTCCGGCGCCCGCGGCGGGGACCGAGCCCCTCCTGCCTGCTCCGCGGGCCGGGGGCCGCGAAGACCGAGGAGGCTCCCGCGCGCCCGGAGGCGCCCCTCGCCGCTCCGCGCCCCGCGCTCCGGGACATGGAACCGCGCCGACGCGGCGCCCGCGCGCTCGGGCCGCTGCCCGCCCCCCTGGATCTATAGTGCGAGGCGGCCCGCTCGGAGCGCGGCGCCCGCCGCCAGCGCGACTCGTCTCTCCGCCTTTGTGTCCCGGCCGCGCGCCCTCCCTGCCGCCGCGCGCCCGGCACCCTGGAGCCGCACGGGAGCCTGCCGTCCGAGCTGCGTCCGGCGCGGCGCCCCGGAGCCCCGAGCCCGCCGCGCCGCCGCGCCCCGCGCGTGCGCCCCCGCCCCGCGCCCTGAGGGCCCCGAGCGGAGCGCCCCCGACCTCGGCGCCGGCTGGAGCGGCCCGGCGCGCCCCGGAGCCGCCTGCGCTCTCCCCCGTGCCTGCCCCGAGGACTGGGGCTCCGGCCTGCGCCCCTTCCCTCCGTCGTCGGGAGCGTGCGGAGCTGGGAGCGGCTTGGCCATGGCCGCGAGGAGGGACCCCGTGTGGAAGTACTGCTGGGGAGTTTTGATGGTTTTATGCAGAACTGCGATTTCCAGGTCGATAGTTTTAGAGCCCATCTATTGGAATTCCTCGAACTCCAAGTAAGTGGCGTCCGCGATCCCCCTCGGCCCCGCCCGGGGTCCGCCGCGTCGCGCCGTCCGGGCGGGAGGAAGGGCTGAGCCGCGCAGCCCCGGGGCCTGTTTGTTTCGGGAACCCCGGCTCCCCGCACCCCAAGTCCCCCGGCCCCCACCCTCGCCACATCTTACTTGATGGAACTCTTGGCCCGGCTTTTCCAGCCGGGGCGCCGGATCTGAGGGGCGCCTTCCCCGCCCCCCTTGCCCCAGGGGGAGCCCTCGGCGGCTCGGGTGTCGCGTCCGGGCGAGTGTCCGGCGGCCGTACCTGGCCCTCACTCCTTCCCGCGGACGGGAACGGGGCCACGGGCCGGGCCGGCGCGCGCGCGCTGCGGGGCTGCGGGCAGCGGTGGGTGCCGCGCGCTCCGGGGGCGCCGAGCCGGGGTCGGCCGAGCGGCCCCCGCTGCCCCCGGAGCCCCGCAGCGCGCCGCCGGCCCCAGGGTGCGCGGGGAGCTCGCCGGCCCCGCCGGAGAACTCGGGCGGCGAGCCGTCTCCTCCCCGCCGGGGGCGCGGGCCGCGGCTGCTCCCGCAGAGCTCTCGGCTCGTCGGCTGCGCCCTTCGCTTCTAAACCAGTGGCCCCGAACTCTTCGCGGTCCAGTTGGCGGACTTGGTGTTTAAGGGCGCTTTCTGCAAAAGCTTGAGGCCCTGCCCAGTCGACGCGGCTCCTGAGGCCTTGGCGCTTGGGGAAGCCTGGGTAGGAATGGGATCCTTGGATCCGACTTGGTTTTACCGAACAGTGTGGCCACGAGAAAGCTAGGCCTTGTGAAGATTAACTTTCGGCGTGAGCTGCCGGCATAAGACATATTTAGAATTGAGAAAAGGCGATTCATCCCTCAGTCTATACGGCGGTGACTCGTAATTAGGTGCCTGTGCGTTCAGTTGTGCGTATTAGCTCCTTCTTGGGGTACATTTCGAATCAAATGCAGAACTGTTTTTACACAATCATGGGATTTTAGCCTTGGGAAACTTGGGGAAAGTGTGGAAACCTTGGCTGGTTCCTGGAGTAATAAGCCTTTGAGATCAGAAGGAAAGTCAGTGGCCTAATTGAAGACAGGCAAGTTGGCCATGGATTTAGGAGTAAAGAGATGGGGGGCGGTGGGGGGGGGGGTTGATTTACAAATCACATTTTAAAAAATTACATCCACTCTTTTAAAAGTGATACATTTCAAATTCACCAACCTGCTTACCAAGAATTCCCTGCTATAAGGGCAAGACACGTCCCAGCCAAACATCGGATTAAACACATTCTTGCACGACGCTAGCTGGCACTTTCCAACGCTGCTCCTATTTAAAAGTTACTCAGTGCCACCCCCTCCCATGCGCCCGGCCTTGTAGGGACTACTGTTTTTTTCTTTAAGGTAAGATTTGTGCTTGCTGAGAAAATGGTCGCAGTGACATCTATCCCCAGACCCGGAGTGGTGAGGCTCCCGGAGGTGCGGGAAGGCGCCGGGCTCAGACCCGAGCGCAGCAGCCGGCGCCCGGGCCGGGCGGTCCCGGGAGCCCAGGCTGGGCGAGCGGGGACCAGGCCAGCCAGTGTTCGCTTTGCGCCTACAGAGGTCACTCTTCCACGCGCAATGCTCTCGGCGCCAGCCCTCACCTCTTCCCCCAGGCTGTCTGCACCGCTCCACTTTGCACTTTCACTGACGGATTGTTTGGGGAGGCTGGTTCCCCTCCCCCCCCCACCAGGGTTTAATATTTACATTTAAATCTCGTCCAGAGAAACTCGCATTAAGCCTTCCATTGCTCAGCTCAGTGTATATGTGTCTCTGTTTACTCCTCGCTGTGTATCCGGAAGATTAGAAATACCTACTTGGAAGAAAACGTAGAAACAAGGATTACTTCCACCACAGCCATCAGTATCTTCTTGTCCTAATGTATTTGGGGTGGGGGGTGGGGGGAGAGGTGACTGGTGTTTTACTCACCATTCTGACAGTTAGGATTGCTCTGTTTTTCTGTGCTTCGGCCACAGAGCTGGAGGCCCTCTGGAGGCCTGCGTTTTGGAGAAGCCTGCCTCCCTGCCCCAATGAGGTGTCTGTTGGCTGTGAGTGCTCCAGTCCTTCAGAGTAGAATTTCTTCTAAAATCCTTGTGATAATGGCTTGCCTGGAGGACTGGATAATTTGTCCCTGGAAAAGGTCTACTTAAGAAAGAATGCAACTGAAGGCTAGCTTGAGAGATCAGAAAGATTTCTTCCTGGAGGAATGATATGAAAGAGCCTTTTCTAAGTTGCAGGATGAATAAAAACCCCTCGTGCCAAGGGGTTGCTTTATTTGCGGGAAGTTGCCTGTTTATTTCCAGGGGAAAGTTTCAGTCCGTAAATGTGATGTGGCAGAAAGGTAATCAAATGCATGGAAGTTTCACATCAGTTCCTGTGAACTGTGGAACAATTCATTTGTAATGAAGCAGCCATCAGTAATTAGATTTGTTTCATTCGGAGGTCAGCTTTTTTTAGCAGGTGGTCGACATAGGGAGCGCGAGCAGCTGTTTGGATGCAGGCTCCAGAAAATCCTTTGTAAATTCACCGTCTCCATAACTACTTTAATCACACTGTCTGCTGTCCCTGAGAGTTTATACAGCCATCAAAAGAAGTTCTGTATCCTGGAACATTAGCGGCTGCCCTGCGAGGTGGGTCACTCCCATCTCATGCACAGGCTCCCGTAGGCTTGCCTCCGTTTTTGCCTGGTAGGTTGTTTAAGCCTCCCCACCCCACAACATCCCCCCCCCCCCCAACTAGGCAGAGAATTGCAAAGCCTGGCTTTCATTTCCAATTAACATTTCAGTAGAACAGCTTTAACAAGCGTGATGTTTTTGCCAGAATAAAATAGTTGCCTCTTCTAAAAGATGCCCACGTTAGAGTGAGCAAGGCTGTACTGGTGTGGTATCCTACAATGCATTGCACTGACTTCGTTGAAGGTTTCAGCCGCGCATTAATTTCTCATGTCTAGGGGGACACTACCCTGTGCACCATATACTAGTTAGTTAACAGCTCATTCTGCTTTTCCCCTGTCATTTTCCCCTGCAGAATGGTGAATTCCTGATATCGATAGTCTTCATACAAAAGAATGGCTGGATAATATCCAGATAACCTATGATACGTGGGCCCCACCACAGTCAGGCTCTGAATAAATACGGACCTGTCAGAGATTGATAAAATAAACTACAAAGGATAGTGCTGTTTAAACAGTCCATTCAATGCCATATATAAGCCAGCCTGCCTTCCATTGTGTCTGAAATTCTTATTTTTGTAGATAAACAAATGCACATTCAACACTGATTGAATAGCCCCTTGAACTGTGCTCCACAGTTTGCGTTTGGGTTAATCTTGTCGGTTTTAATGTAGAGAGAAAAAAGCACAAAACACCAGGGGTGAAATTGTGAGCGCTTTCCCATCCACATTCCTCACATTTTGTCAGGATGATAAACTATAGGTAATCGAGTGTCGTTGTTCTTCAGGACAACTGAGCCAGGGCGAGCACAAAGACGGAGCTGAAGCGATGTCTCACAACATGCTTGGCCGCCTCCTTTTCAGGCAAGAAGAGAATTTATTTGGGAATCGTGTGTCTAGGGACCGCGCTTTTTAACCTCGGCAATTACAGCCTCAAGCCTCAGAAACGGGAGCTGGAGGTTAAGATGATTTGTTAAGCACTCGGTTCTAAATCTTTCACAAAGCGTAGCTGTTGACACTTGTCCTGTGGATGTAAAGAAATGCAAATGACTGCAAATTTCCCGAACGCTTCCGACTCCCAGGCAGTGGTAGAAGGACAGGTGAATTAGCCCTTTCCCCCAGACCAGCTGAAAAGTGCAGATCGGCATGGTGTGGCATGGTGTCTCCGTGGGAAGTTGGCCGAAGAGTCATGGGGCATTTCGACCACTTATCGTAAAACCTCTTATCTGTAAATTTCCTGAGAGGACTCCTTTGGTTGGTGGATCAGCGCAGTAATTATCCTCGGAGGGACACTGCAGCGGGAGCGAGACAGCCTGTGCTACCTTGCCTTCCGCAGCTCGCAGGAGGCCGAGGGTGACATCTACCTTAGCGTGATGTTTCCCAGAGCGTCTGCCTAATGGGGGACGATCTGAGATCCCAGCGTGACTGCAGCCATGCGTCATCGGAATGGGAGTGGCAGGGAAAGGAAACACAGACTATAGACCCTCAGCAAAAAAGGACATATTTTTTTTTTTTTGTAGAAAGGGTATTTCTTTACCATCTTCTGAAAACTTTATTCTTAAACCGTTCCATCACAAAGTCGACAAAAAGCAGGGCTCTCGTAAGAAATAGTGATGAAAATGGCACTTCTGTCTGTCTAATCTCTGCTTTCGTTGGCTGCTGACATAAAGAGCCTGTTTTTCAGGTCACTTATCATACATCTACATAGATTTGCTTATGAGCTCAGCCTTTGTGTAGCGGAGGAGAGCCTTAAATAGGAGTGTTCAACTGTTTAAAATATTTTGATTAAAATATGCAGAACCCATAGAGCTATAAGCTTCTAGGCAGGAATTAGCTCTTTCAGGGAAGAGCTCTCCCCCTCCCCAACCATTTTTTTTTTAAGGGATGGGATTAGAATGGGCTGGGAAGAGGGATAGAAGAAAAGCAAAGGAGAAGGATGGCGAATGGGACAGTGTTCCGAACAGCTTGGAAAAACTCCTGTGGCTTCATTGTCTCTGTAAAGCCAGAGAATACAAAGACATAAGGAACTCAGCCCTTCTCCCATGATGGAAAATGTAAACCATTGACACGGCCCCCTGTTTAACTTGTTTAATTCTTGTTTTAAATTCAGTGCTATGCTAGCCGTGTGAACTCTGAAGATTTCTTCAGTAATCCATTTTGTAGTTCCGACTCAAAAACAAAGTGAAAGGGTCTGACACAATTTGCTTTTATTTTTAGGCAAATCAACCCTGGTCATAGTTAATAAGGGGATTACAACCCAGACTAGGTCTTTACAGATGTAATGTAAATCAAGTGCAGAGTATAAAG